GATTAATTAGTTAATTAGTTAATTAATTAATTAATTAATTAATTAATTAATTAATTAGTTAATTAATTAATTAATTAATTAATTAATTAATTAATTAATTAGTTAATTAATTAATTAATTATATTTATGTGTTAATTATAATTAATTAATTAATTAATTAATTAATTAATTAATTAATAATAATTAATTAATTTATTATTTATAATTAATTATAATTAATTATAATTAATTAAAAATAAATAAATAAATATATTTGTATATATTTCCTTTTTAGTGTATTCTTATTAGCCAACAAACAAAACAAAGAAAACTTCTTTCTTATTAACACTGCATGCATTTTGGGGCTTTTTCCCTTCTTGTTTTTTTTTCCTCTTTTTTTTTTCCTTTCCTATTTCCTATTTATTTATTTATTTATTTCTGCCTTTAGCTATTCCTGCAGCTAGCTACAGCTAGCCACAGCTAGCCACAGCTAGCCACAGCTAGCTACCAGCTGGCTGTATATACCTGTAAACAGGGACGGCCTCCTACGTCTATATTCAGCTAGCTACAGCTAGCTACGTGTACCTACGGCTAGCTATGCTAGCTAGCTGGTTAGCCATAGCTAGCTGGCTAGCTATAGCTAGCTAGGGTAGCAGGTAATAAGAGTGCTGCCTATATAGGAGTAATTATTTAATTAAATAGTTCGTTAAGGAAAGAAAAAAGCCCCAAAAAGAGATGCATGCGCTGCTGTCTTCTTTCTTTCTTCGCTGTCTTCGATTGCATGCATTATAATTGGGGCTGGCAATTATTTATAAAAATAAATAAATAAATAAATAAATAAATAAATAAATTTGTTTATTTATATTAAATAGATAATATATGTATTAATAGTAACAGTACACTACTAACAACACGGCTGCTGCTGTTGCTGCTGCTGTTGCTGTTGCTGCTGCTGCTGCTGACGTGGTGTCTGTATGCATATATACACACCACTAAGGGATAGAAAAAGAAGAAGAAAAAACAATAAAATAAATAAAATAAATTAAATATTATTTTATTAATTAAATAAATAAATTATTATGTCTTCTCCTCTTATCTGGGTCTGCATGCACACCATAATAGCAGCAGCAGCAGCAGCAGCAGCAGCTGACCACAGACCAGCAGCAGCAGCAGCGAAGGGGGGCCCCTAGGGGCCCCCTATACACCCCATTATATTCTTTTTTTTGTTTTTCCTTTTTATTTATTTAAAGATAATTCAATGACGCAGCAGATTGAGGCCCCTAAGGGGGGTTAGTTTGCTGCTGCTGCTGCTGCTGCTGGTGTTGTTGCTGTTGCAGTTGCTGCTGCTGGTGTTGCTGCTGCTTCTGTTGCTGTAGGGAGTTGTACATGTTGTTGTGGCTGTGTCTTGTTGTTATTGCTGTTGTTGCTGCTGCTGCTGCAGTATTTATGTTGGTATTATGCTGCTGCTGTGTTTGTTTGTCTGCAGCAGCAGGAGGAGCAGCAAAAGGAGCAGCAGCAGCAGCAGCAGCAGCAGCAAAAAAGAAGGAGTCTAAGCTAACAAAGCTGCTGCAGGGGACTAAGGCTTGGTCTATTCGTGCTGTTAAGGGACCAAGTGTCTCTCATTCTATTCTATTTGGTGCTGCAGCAGGTAAACAGCAGCAGCAGCAGCAGCAGCAGCAACAGCAGCAGCAGCAGCAGCAGGAGAGTACTTGTATATATACGGACAGAGAGAAAGAATAGATATAAATTAAATAGATAAAAAGGAGATAATTAGTTTAATTAATTTATTTAATTAGTTAAGTAAATAAATAAATAAATAAATAAATAAATAATATATGTATATGTATATGCAAGTTGTATATATTACGTAAATCGTATATTACATGTAAATATAAATTATAAATATATTTATTCTTTTTTTCTCTTTTTTTTTTATATAAATAAATAAAATAAATAAAATATAATTAGATAAATAAATAGATAATTAAATAAACTAATTAATTAATTAGTTAATTAATTAATTTATTTATTTATTTACTAATTAATTAATTATATATGTATATGTATATGCAGGTTGTATAAGTTACGTAGATTATTATGTATACAGTATACTGCATGTAAATATATATTATGAATATTTTTCTTCTTTTTTCTCCTAATTATAGTTAGATAGATAAATAAATAATTAAATATACTAATTAATTAGTTAATTAATTAATTAATTAAATTATTTAATTACTAATTAAATAAATATGTATATGTATATGCAGGTTGTATAAGTTACGTAGGTTATTACGTATATCGTATATTACATGTAAATATAAATTATGAATATATTTCTTAATAATAGTTAGATAGATAGATAGATAATTAAATATATTATTTAATTAATTAAATAAATAAAAAAACTAATTACTAATTATTTATTTATGTAAATGTATATGCAGGTTGTATAAGTTACGTAGGTTATTACGTATATCGTATATTACACGTAAATATAAATTATGAATATATTTCTTCTTTATCTATAAATATATCAATCTATCTATTTATCTGTTAATTTATATGATTAATTAATTTATTTATTTATTTTTTTGATTAATGATTAATTTATTTATACATATACATATACGTCCAACATATTCAATGCATCCAATAATGCATATAGCATATAATGTGCATTTATATTTAATACTTATATTTTCTTCTTTATCTCGTCATCGTTATTTAGATAAACAAATAATATATAATAAAGAAATACAAGAAAATATTAATTCTCTTTTTTTTTCTTCTCTTATTAAAGAATATTCTCCTGCTGCTACTAGATTACCATTTAAACCCTTGTTAGTTCCTGCTCCTCTTGCTGCTCTTGCTGCTCTTGCTGCTGCTGCTGCTGTTGCTGCTGCTGCTGCTGCTGCTGCTGCTGCTGTTGATTGGTGGTGGTGGGTGCGTTATTGGGGTTTTTTTGGTTGTTTTTTGCTGTTTTGCTGCTATTGCTGCTGTTGCTGCTGTTATTGCTGCTGCTGCTGCTGCTGCTGCTGTTGCTGCTGTCTCTGCTACTGGCTCTATCTGTCTCCTTTTCTCTCTTATTGTCTCTTTTTCTCTTTCTTCCTTTGTCTCTTTTTTTATATATGTCTCCCTTTATTGTATTTATTTATCTGTCTCCTTCTTGTTTGTCTTTTTTTATTTGGTTGCTGTTGCTGCTGCTGCTGCTGCTGCTGCTGTTGCTGCTGCTGCTGTTGCTGCAGGGAGGATAAATACCGCATCTAAGGGTTTCCGCTAAACCCTAAACCCTAAACCCTCAGCGTGTTTCCTTAGAGGGCCCCTATGCCCTCCTCTGCTGTCTCTTTTCTTCCTTTTTTCTCTCTTTTTTTTTATTAAATATAAATAAATATATTATAAATAGATATAAATAAATATATATATAAATAAATATAAATAAATATATATATAAATAAATATAAATAAATATATTTATTTATATTTATATTTATATGTCTTATAGAGACAGCAAAAAAAAACAAACATATAAACAGCCACATTAAGATATTTTTTTATTATTTATTTATTTATTTATTTATTTATTTATTTATTTATTTATTTATTTATTTATTTATTTTATTTATTTATTTATTTATTTATTAGTATATTAGTATAATTAATTAGTATAAAATTGTTTGTGCTGCAAAATAAGTACCAATTAAGGGGGGGCCCCCTCTGTATCCTTTTTTATCGTCTATTGTAGGGGCCCCCTCTCCCTTTATAAGGGCCCCCTTTCTCTCTATTATAGACCCCCCTCTCCTTATAAGGGGCCCTTCTCCTGGCGGGGGCACCCATATGTTAATAAGAGCCTCTCTGTGTTAGCTAGGGGCCCCCTTACTGAAGGACGAATCCTCTGTCTTGAGGGGGTCCCCTTGTCTTAATAAGGGGCCCCTCTAGCTTATTAATGGGGGCCCCAAGGGGTGAACAACTGGGGCCCTATTAACTAGATGGATGCCCTCGTGTCTTAATGAGGGTACTATCCTGGGGGCCCCTTATAAATAGTTCTTTAAAAAGGGTACCGGCATAACTATTTTAGGGGCCCCCATTTAAACTGGGGCCCCGATCTAAATTAGGCCCCCCATGTAAATAGGGGCCCCTCTCTTACAGGGGGCCCCTCCCCCTCCCCCTTTATACAATATTATCTCTCTTAGTCATTAAGCTTATTTTATTACTAGTATAAATATTACATATTTATTTCTTAATAGGGGGGCCCCCTCCTAATTTGGGGGGCCCCCTCGGTTAGCAATTATTTTCTGTTGTTGCTAGTAGCTAGGGGCCCCTAAGGGGCCGCTTGCTGCAGCTGGTACCCTTTTTCTCCTATTAATAAGAAGAAATAAATAATATTATTTAATTAAATATAAATAAATAATATATTAATTAAAAAAAGAAGGAAAAAAATGCCCCTGCAGGGGCACTAGGGGGGCATATGGGTACTAAGAACAGGAGGCAACAACCCCACCCCCCCAGTAACACACCATTTTGCTGCAGCGGCTGCAGCAGCGGGGCTGCTGCAGCAGCAGCAGCAGCAACAACTCCTTTCTGCTGCTGCAATCCGTTTAATTATAGCCTCTTTCTTCTTTTTTGTCTCCTTTTGCAGCAGGTTTCTTGCGGCCCTCCCTGACGCTGCCCCTGCTGCAGCAGCAGTTGCTGCAGCAACACCACAGCAGCAGCTGCTGCTGCTGCTGGTGTTGCTGCTGCTGCTGCTGCTCCCTCTCCGTGCCACCATTAATTCTTTCTTGTCTTTGACTCGTTATAATTGTTTATTACTTGGTGGCGCAGCAACATCCAGCTGCAGCAGCAGCAGCAACAGGAACAGCAGCAGCGGCAGCAGCAGCAGAACATAATCGACAGCAACTGCAGCAGCAAATCCTGCTGCTGCTAAACCCTTGCACACTTGGAGGGGCACCTTAAGGAAAAGGGGTCCCTCCATAGTATACATTAGGGTTTAGGGTTTAGGGTTTAGGGTTTAGGGTTTGCTGATGACGACTACATCTGTCCGTTCCCCTGCTCATCCTCGAGCTCCTTTGTCGTACTTTCAGCAGCAGCAGCAGCAGCCGCTGCAGCAGCAGCAGCAGCAGCAGCAGCTCTCTCTTTCTTCCCTTAAGTTGCAGTCTAGTGTCTTGGGCCCCCCCCCAAGGGCTGACCGCTTTGATAAGCAGCCGCTGCATGCGTCGACCTTGGGGCCCCCAGGGGGCCCCCAGGGGGCCCTAATGGGGGCCCCAGGGGGCCCACATGAGGGTCCTAATGGTTCCATATATGGGTACCTTGGAGGTATAAACACAACAGCAGGTGCAGCATTAGCAGGAGGAGGAGCAGCAGCACAGCAGCATGGTAACGGCAGCAGCAGCAGCAGCAGCAGCAGCAACTCGCGATTTGCTTCTCTTACTACAGGAGGTATATCTTCGCATGCAACCTCTGATGGTTATGCGTCTCCTCTTGTAGGTACTGCAGCAACAACAGCAGCAGCAACAACAGCAGCAGCAGCAGTAGCAGCAGCAGCAGCAGGAGGAACAGGAGCAGCAGCAACACGGCCTAATTGGGCTCATACAAGCGCTATTCTTAGCACCACACAGCAGCAACTGCAGCAGCTAGAGCAGCAGCAGCAGCAGCTAGAGCAGCAGCAGCAAATGCTGCTAGCAGACTTTGACGATTCTTTCTCTAATCAGTCGCAGCAGCAGCAGCAGATGGGCTCATCCTTATCAGCAGCAGCAGCAACAACAACAGCAGCAGCAGCAGCAGCAGCAGCAGACAGCACGGATCTCCCTACACAAGCAGCAGCAGCACGCCGTCGTCGTCATCGCCGCAGCAGCAGAAACTCCCTTAACACTACCTTTGACCTGCAGCAGCAGCAGCAGCAGCAGCAGCAGCAGCAGCAGTATTTGCATGCATTAGGTTCATCATCTAATGCTTTAGGGCTACGCCGCATGCATGCCGATGACCCTATTCAGTTAAGGGGCCCCCTGGGGGCCCCCCTTGTTGACAATACTATAGGGGGCCCCTCAGGGGGCCCCCTGCTGCAGCTGCGCAGCGAAACAACAGCAGCAGCAACAGCAGCAGAAAGGATCTTGAATAGATCAAGGAGCCTCCGGGGCCCCCCCGCCCCTACTGAGCGGCTGCGCAGTAGCAGCGCTATTGGCAGCAGCAGCACAACAGCAGCAGCAGCAGCAACAGCAGCAGACGGCGGAGGGTCCTTGCTGCAGCAGCCGCTGCACTTGAGGGGCCCTGCTGCTGCTGCTGCTATAACAGACACAGCAGCAGCAGCCACAGATCTGCAGCAAACTACACAGCAGCACCAAACAGCAACAACTAGCAGCAGCAGCAGCAGCAGCAGCGCGATGAGGAGTGTATCGGCTACCGTAAGGGAGAACAGCGTCTGTGTCTGCAGTGTACGTACACCCCAATAGCAGCAGCAGCAGAAGCAGCAGCAGCAGAAGCAGTAGCAGCAGCAGCAGAAGCAGCAAAGAGACACAACCGCAGCAAATCATCTTAGATACATAAAACGCACACACATATATCAGCAGCAGCAGCAGCACCAACAGCAGCAGCAGCAGCAGCAGCAGCAGCAAGTGTGTGTGTCTGTGTCTGTGCGTGCAGGCTGCTTCTTTTATGGCTAGACAGAAGGCACAGTACGAGCAGCTGCTGCGGCGAGTAGAGGGGGAGAGGCAGCAGCAGCAGCAGCAGCGGCAGAAGCAGCATGCAAAAGAGATGCAGCTACATCAGCAGCAGCTACAATTACAGCAGCAGCAGCATGAGCTGCAGCAGCAGCAGCACGAGCTGCAGCAGAAGCAGCAAGAGTTGCTGCTAATAGAGCGTAAATTCAATGAGCAGCGCGACGCCATAGAGCAGCGGCTAGTAGGGGACCAGCTGCAGCAGCAGCAGCAGCAGCAGATAATACAGCAGCAGCAGCAACAATTACAGCAGCAGCAGCAAACATTTAATAAAAAAAAGGAGACATGGTGTGCAGCAGCAGAGCAAAGGAGACAGGAAGCAAATAAGACACAGCTGCTGCTGCTGCAGCAGCAAAAAGAGATAGAAGATAAACAGTCTGCTGTTAATCAAAAACAAAAAGAACTAGATGTATGTCCTGCTGCTGCTGCTGCTGCTGCTGCTGCTGCTGTTGCTGTTGGTGGTGGTGGTGGTGGTGTTGTTGCTGCTGCTGCTAATCGTCATCTTGCTGCTGTTAATATTGATCATGCTGCTTCTCCTGCTGCTGCTGCTGCTGCTTATTCTGTTGCTGCTAATCATCCTCGTGTTGCTGCTGCTGCTGCTGCTGCTAATTGCTGCTGCTGCTGCTGCTGCTGCTGCTGCTGCTGCTGCGTATACACCGCAGGCGGATCGTTACCAATTGAACGAAGAACGTCTGCAGCTACAAGAGCAGCAATTCGCCTTTGATGCAGCAATGCAGCAGCTGCGTGCAGAGACACAGGAGTTGGAGCAGCAGCAGCAGCAGCAGCAACAGCAACAGCAGCAGCTACAGCAACAAGAGCAGCAGCTAATGCAACGCGAATTAGATCTGCAGCAGCAAGAGACAGAAATTAATAATCTGCGCATGCAGCTGCAGCAGCAGCAAGCAGATCTTGATGCAAGAGAGGACGATCTACGGAGGCAGCAGCAGCAGCTGCAGCAGCAGGAAGCAGACCTGCAGCAACAGCAGCTAATGCTGCAGCAGCAAGAAGCAGATATGCAGCAGCAGCAGCAACAATTTCAAAGACAGCAAGAGACGCAGCAGCAAGAACTGCAGCAGCAATATTCTAATATTGAACAGCAGCAGCAAATGCTGCAGCAGGAGCAGCAGCTGCTGCAGCAACAGCAGCAGCAACTGCAGCAGCAGCAGGAAGACTTCAAGAGAAGGCAGCAAGACCTCACAAGACGTCTAGATGAGGCAGCAATTAGAGAGGTTAGTGCTGCTGCTGCTGCTGCTGCTGCTGCTGCTGCTGCAGTTGGTGCTGTAGTTGCTGCTGTAGTTGCTGCTGTTGGATTGATGTGTTTGTTGCTGCTGCTGTTGCTGCTGCTGCTGCTGCTGTTTTGCAGAAAGAAGCGGAGGCTGCTCGTAGAGACTGCAGCATGGAGCAGC